TCCTTCTGAAAGTTTCTCGGCCCGATTTTAATTTACTCCATGGCTTTGGATTCCTCAGGAGATCTGAAAGGGTGCCCTGGCTCCTGCAAAGTACCCTCTGAGCAAACACGGCTTGTGGTATGCTATATCGTTTCAACTCCCCACTGATCCTTTGTGCTAATTCCTTAAAATCAGGCGTCACTTATAAAAAATCGAAGTACCTTAGTATTAAGCTCCTCTATTTCGCAAGGGGGCGTGCTGCCGCGTCCACGATCACCTTCAGGGATGCTTTCCTGAGGACTGGAAGGAATATTTTCTAAATCTAGTGCAAAGTTATCAACCAGATCTGGAGACTTACCTAGATCCAAACTTTTGAGTGTTTTTACTTCATTACAAGGTGCAAAAGTGGCACCAGGAGGAAGACCATCACCGGACATTGGAGCAACGGAGCTAGAATTAAAATCGGAAATAGCTTGAACTGATTGCGGAGGGTGAATACCAACATCAGGAAGCGATTTATCGCAATTATCTAGGCTACCATTAACTTTTTCTCCATTTTGCTGTACAACTGGCTTGAGGTCCTGAATAGCATAACCTGGTTGTCGATGCATTTCTGAAGGGCCGAGTTCGATAGAATTCGAGATTTGGGACTGGTGATTATAGAGTCTTTCAGACACAGAGGCAATTGGAGGGAGAGCAGTCAAATTGGCATAGCTTATGAGCTTGGGTGCATTCAGATGCTCATTCTCAACATGGTTTCCCATTGAGACGGAGTTTACAGGATTCGTAAGGCCGGAGAGGCTCAAATCTGAGCCAAATATATTGTCAGGAATTGCAAGGGTGACACCCTCACCTTGATCACTTCCCAAAATTTGGGTGGATGGGGTAGTTAACAATATTGTTTGTTGGTCACCGCAATTAATCAAAGTCAGCTTCACGGTCTGAATGCCTTGAAGAGCCTGCGCCCCCCCAGGGAAAGCCTGGAGTTCTAACGCTTGGCCATCCGAGGTGTTAAACAACGTAACATTTTCCAAGTCGCCTAATTGCAACCCAAGCTTTCCGGGAGCTAATGCACTTATCGGAACTGTAGTCATAGGAACGCCATTTGAGCCGTCATCGTTGACACCAGACACCGGCAATGCGAGGTTCTTTGGTTTAGGTGAAATGGATCGATCCCCCAAGAGAGATGTATCAATAGTGATATTAGCGCCCGCCATCGCGGTGTGTAGCTGAAGTTCTGTTAATTCCTTTTGAGAATTTTCACCTATCGAAAGTCCACTCTGCATGAGAATGTTGACGTTGCTTTGTAAGTTAGGGTCATCCATTTAGCACATTTAATGGTTATAATCCTTTAGAGAATATCGTGAAAGGATTCGCGACTAATAAAAATTCAGAGAAAATCGAAGTAGCGCGACACAAGCAACGGGAGGAAGAATATACCAAAATGTCGATAAATTGCGGTCAATACAGAATAACTTCAAGCATGGCCGTTTGCTTGAAGGTGATGTTATTAGCTCACCGATTGGCTGGTCGATATTCATTGATCTAGAACATTTTGTTAATACTTCATTATAGGTTATATCTCACTCTAATTAACTTTTTTACATTATAAAAATATTTTAAATAAGAAAATTATCTTTTTTTACTCTATAATTCATTAAATTAATGATACAAGTTGGTTACACTTTAAATGATAGTATATAAGTAGTATATGTTGATTTCTCTTACATTTCATGGCTGTGCGATATCTTGTCTGAGTTCATCTTATTTAGGTGCTTAATTCACTAGATTTTTACACTTTTTAGTTTACCTATTTAACAGCTCGTAATATTCTTATTTTTTGACGTGGATATATAAATACACACCATTTTGCAGCACAATTTTAATAGAGCTTTCCGCCATTTTCATAAAGGATTAGCCTTTTATGTTTACAAGTTATATTGCAATCTTTTTAACATACTAAGCGTATATAAGTTGTTTTACCTTGTTTTCGCAACTTGGTCATATTGGTAGGAAGACTTAGAGGAACGCCCAAGTCCCCAGTCCATTGTATGCATCATCATTTCCAGAGTAGAACCGCAGAGGTGGTACATTCCCAGACGTTTCGCCAGCATCGAAGTCGGCATCGTTAGTGAGTATCGCCATTCGTAGCACCATATTACAAGACTTGTCTCTTTGACGAGTTGTAATATGGTGCTGCGAATGGCGGGACTCACTAACGATGCCGACTACAATGCCGGCGAGACGTCTGGGAATGTATCACCTCCGCGGTCCTACTCTGGAAATGATGATGCATACAATGGACTGGGGACTAGGTGCGTTCCTCTAAGTCTTCCTACCAATATGACCAAGTTTCGAAAACAAGGTAAAACAACTTCTATACAACAAAAGGAGACTGCGACCACACAAAAGACCACACCATCTTAGTCTTCATACCTTCAAATAATTTGCGTATGTTGAAGTGCCTTTCGTTTCGTTTGAAGAGGCGAATGGAGGTGATTCGTAAGTTCGTTCCACTCGGAGCCTTGGAGCTGTGATTATAGATTTATGCAAATAGGTCCTCGGCGCACTGCCCTGCGACCCTGTGAGTCCTTGCTGAGCTTTCGTCCGTCATATGACGGACATCGTCGGAGCAGGCCATCATGCCTAATGATAATTCTCCAAAAACATAAAGGCAAGAAAGGTGGCCAGCTTCAAACATACCTACTTCTTTGGCCAACTTAAGCATCTCATGCTTTGGTTGGATATCTTATCCTTTGCCTAAGTATTTGCTCAATAGTTAAGTAAAGTGGCTGTGGATGACATGTGAAGTGGCTGCA